AAGTATTTTGAGTTTTTTTCTTTTAGCCATGCAAGTACGTGTTAAATGCAACTTAACTGCAGCAAATAAGGTGGAGTCTGGTAAGTTAGAAAAATACTACAGAATTGATGTAACGGTTAAGAAAACACAAAGATGGCTTTTAAGGATGATGTTGTAAGTTTGTCAAAATTTAAGAAGGGACAAAAACCATGGTGTAGCTCCCTTAAGAAAAGCAGGTTATGTCTACTTCATTTTTTTGCTCTAGAAAAAACAGAATTCTTGTGAAATGAACTGAAAATTAAAAATTCAGTCTATAATGTTCACTTTTTACAAAGTTTTTGGCCAAAAAATCCCAAAATATTTCCTTAGAATGAAATAACCCTAGGCCAGTGTTCCAATTATTCATCATCATTGTCATCACTGCAATCCTTTGCCTGTTTTGCAACAAGTGCCACACAAGGCACAAAGCAGGAAAACAGCATACAAAGTTGATCAAAAGTCGATTTATTTTCATTCTACTCAGCAGGGATGGCTGATCTAAGAGCATTAGAGGCATTTGTCTTCTATCAGAGCAGGTTATAATCAGATCAAGGGCTCCTCTTTCATTGAGTTTACACTAATGCTACATATAACCACAGTTTCCTTCTTTCACTTTCATCTAGATCTCCTTCAGTTAGGGATACAAGACATACAAATTTGTAACTCTAGATCTAATTAATATGCAATTCAGTTCTACAAATATGAATATTCAAGCACATTTTGGAGACAATTATTACCACAGAAATTAATTGTGTTAATTTTGTAAGAGCCTTTAAGTCTATAGTGGTCAGACATGAAGAAAACATTTTATCACCTCACCTTGTATTTTAAAACAAGTCAATCAGATTGATTTTCTCATGACAAAGGAGAACTATACTTGATTCTAAAAAAAGGCTCACTGTATTCAGTAACATGAAATGGTGACATTCTCTTGACTTAAGCCAAACATTTTCTAGCAGCGTGACATGCTATCTTAGAATATTTTAGAAAAAGGTGACAGAAAATTTGACATCTCATACTTTACACGGAATGAAGATGTGAGAAACCCATAAAAATACCTTGCTGGGTTGCCTGGTGTGACACCATTTGTTAAGAATATGTTCACTGCTCTTTTATGAAAAGGAATTATAACAACTGAAGCAAATAGGCTACAAACTTGTTCCAAAGCTGCCCATAGTTTAAGTGTTGCATGGTTCTGGCCTGTTCATGTCCACTTATATTTAGTTTTCAATTGCATTTATTGTTGGCAAATTAAGTTCCTTAATGTCAAAAATTCAAATTAAACTCAGACAGCAAGTCCACAAAACCAGATGTTCCAGAAAATAATTTAAAAATAAAAAGTATTCTGTAATGGCAATTTGTATTTATAAGTCATAAAATAAGTCACTTGGCTGGATAAATATTTATGGTTTTCAGGACTGCTCTGGCTAGACCTATTTTGTTAATTTGTTACACCAATTTGTTGTTCATGTTTTCACACACCTTTTCCTATTTGATTCTGTTCTTTTTTTCTTAATAATCATTTTTCCTTCCTTTTTAGTTTTTCTGTTGCATTGTATATTTTTTGGTACCAAGATATCATTAAGAAAAAAAATAATGAAAGCCGACGTGTGAAAATTAGTTATGCTAAGCACATGCAAGTTACTTTGCAGCAGAGACAAAGTCTGAAAGTTCTGAACTTATCCTTTCACATGAATTTATGGAAGATGAGATGATTGAAAGGATATGAACGAGGCTCCTAGCAAACTTTATTATTAAAAATCTTTAAGGGAAACAAGTTTGAACTGTACTTCTGTCAACAGCAAAATAAAATGCAAAAATGTTGATCACTCCCAGAAATTTATGAAATAATTTTGAATGTAGCAAATGAACAATGAATAACAAGCTTTATGATATTTCTTGCATTGTCATCACAAACATAATCAATGGCATAAACTTGAGGTAAAATGTATTTAAGTATGAAATTCATATTAAGTACATGTAATTCACAGAAGGAAAAACATTTACAGTTGATGGACAGCTTTTCATCTAGTGTCTTATGTTTTCCATTTTCGCTGATGTAATCATCAAAAAGGAGGTGAATGTATAATATAAGGAATATCCCAAATGTGAAGCAGCAGAGCACAAGTCTATTATCGTTAGCTAATATGTGATCATTATGTGTCAAACAAGGTCACGAAGTATGTTTGTTCAGGAAACTACTTTCCATGCAGGCATAAACTGGAATAGTACAGGAAAGTCACCTGGGATCATCTCACTTCCTGCACCCCATGAAATTAACCACCTACATTGTGATTCACTGTGTTCACATTGTGTACACAGTTGTGTACACTCTACCCTGGCTCCAGAGGTTTCTCTTTTTTCTCTCCTTTTTCTCCCTGTTTACAATCCTTTCGAGCTGCGAAGCAGCGAGATTCGCCAAGCTGCATAGCAGCTCAGAGAAAAAGAGACGCTGTTACGCAGCTCGGCCAATCTCGCTGCTTCGCAGCCCGAAAGGATTATAAGCAGGGAGAAAAAGAGAAACCTCTGGAGCCAGGGTATGTACACTCTGATTCTTAATTGCAAATTAAAAGATCTAACAAAATACAGTTGCCTTCTCCAATAAAGCTGCCTCATAAAAAAAATTAAACACTCTCTGAAAACCCTCCACTGTTAACTATGGTGTGATCAGAAAACATGTAGCACAAAATTAATAATGAAAAAAAAAATGGGAAAACAATAGGGGGAGTTCTTAATGGGAATTCATGATTGTCAGAGCTTGCAACTCAATCGTGTCAACCAGCCAAATGTATACTCAAGGTACTTACCCTTTGACACCACTCATGACCATTAATTGACTCAAATTACTAAGCTGAACAACAATAAACTGATCCTGACAACATTTCCTTTATAATACCTCAGAAGTATACAGTTTATAAAATGGAAATTATTCACGTCAATATCATTCAAAAATGCACAATAATTTTTTCAAAAATTATACAATAAATTATTCCATATGCTTGAAGGTTTCTACCTATCGAGTTTTTTCCAAGTGCTTTTCTGAAAAAACCTTGCTTCCAACCACTGCAAAATGTTCCATGAACCAATGAAATGACATATGCGATTAGTGCCAGTATAGGCAAACATTGGGTGAGATTGGCCCAAGATATCTCTAAACAAACACAGTTACCCATCTTTTTTATTGTATTTTCGGAGACAGACATTGGTAGAGAACTTAAAGGGAAGTTTCAAGAAAATTGTACTATAAATTTTTTCCCCAGGAATCACCTTAGAGTGATTTTTCAGTATACTTTATACTCACCTGGTCTGGAGGCAAGAGGTACCACATCAGAAGCTTCTATTGCAGAGCTTGCAATAGGAAGGGCATCACCATCCTCCTCAGTTTGGTCTTCACTGCCAACAGCTTCCGCACTCTTTGTTCTCGGGCGTCCACGGGAGTTTTCAAAGGGAGCCAGATATGTCACTCCTTCACTTATCAACTCATCAATATAATACTGAATCACTTCTTTACCCTGATGAATGATAACATAAGAACTGCTGATGTCTTAAAATACAATGATAATCTTTTTTTCTGGTTAAAGGATCGGTGGATACTAAGACTTGGGAGTTTTAAACACTTGGTAAAACCCTTGCAGCTTATGAGGTACTAAGGTGAAGGTGGTAATTTAAGTGAACTAACACAAGACAGATGGTACTTCAGCTAGGTGATGCAGCCACCATTAAATTTCACTACATATTTAACTACCTCTACAGTACCCTATATAATAACATTAACTGAGGAACAAGTAAGCCAGTGAAGGGTAAGTACTTGCAGCAGAACCAACCAAAGTTTAATACCCATTTACTCGACTTCCTGTTAACTTACACTTTTCTTCTGTTATACTATCTCTCTCAAAGAGCATTTTTTTGCATCATTTACTATCAGCTTTTTTAAATTCCCCATTATCCAGGATAGCTTGTCATGCAGCATGTCAAAAAAAGAAAATGGGGATCCATTGAAGTTTAGAGTTCAGAGAGGGAGGGTTGCTCTCAAAAGTTGAAGCTTCAGAACAGAAGTCAATTGGGTTGGGTGTGAGACAAACTCACCACAGTATGAGGGTGAGGTGGCTGCTCAGGAAAGAAATAGGTAAAAAGGTAAGGCCTGCTCACAAGCCAGGTTGCTCATCGGGCCAGCGCTTACCAGTAACTCTGCTTTCCGTTGCGTGAAGCAACTAGGAGTACTTCTACTCCCTCTGGATGGAATGCTAGTCCATCACTGGTTTATCCCCCACTATTAAATTTGCCAGTACCCATTTTATTCTCCTGGGTGAAGAGAGGCATTATGAGAGTAAAGTGTCTTGCTCAAGAACACAACACAATGTCCCCAGCTGGGGCTCAAACCCGGACCACTCAATCCGGAGTGTCAAGCACACTGACCATGAGGCCAATGCGCTTTCCAAGGAAAGAAAGTGGGGGAGATAATTTTCTAAATAATCGCGACACTGCATCACTGGGAGAAGTGAGGGAGGGAATTACAAGATAATTTGATTTTATCCTAATACCAATGAGAGTTTCTAGAGCTAATATTCGAAGCATTAACCCTTGACCATTCACTCTGACCAGGGGCTCACACTCAAAACATCATTCAGCTTTAGAAACTCTCTACAGTCATCAATTTACATCATCAATGAAGTTGATAAAACAAAATTATCTGAAGAGAAACAGATAGGGGATGACTAGGAAGAATCCCAAGATCACCTTCTTGATGTTCTGAAGATACAACTTGATGGCCAACTTCTCAATGGCTGCCTCAAAACCAAAGAATGACTTGATGTCCAAAGTGGCATCCTGCTCAAAACAAGTCCAGTCAGGATTGTCAGGATGAACCTAGAAAATTAGCAACAGAACAATTTAACAAAGGGTACTTAGATGCTATGAAATCACGAATAGCACATGTGAGTCTGGGATCAAAAAGTCTGAGTTTGTGCTCTTGCAATTTATTTGCCAGGAGAAGTGTGACAGTTAGTTGGGAGAAAGAAGCTATTCACTCAAACCAGACCTGAACTTATCAACTCATACTGTACATGTCGGGTACTGATATCTGTTCCTCTCTGTATCAAATAATAAAACAATCTTTTCATGGCAAAATTCAACGTCAAAAAAAATTGTCCTGCACATTAAAATTTCAGTAAGCATAACAAAGCTTACACTCAAAAAATATATTATTAAGCACTATTCAAATAATAAAACAATCTTTTCATGGCAAAGTTCTACTTAAAACAAAAATGTCCTGTACATTAAAAGTTTATTAAGCATAACAAAGCTTACACTCAAAAAATATATCATTATAAGACAATTGCCACAAAACAGGAGGAAGTACCAAGCAGAAAAGAAAACACCTGTCAAGAATGTAACCAGTCAGATATAATCCTAATACGAAAATTATGCTGATTGGAAAATGTTGTGACTAGTCCTTTATATGCCTTAGCATAACAATTCAATACTAATAATCGACAAAATGTAAAACATCAGCCTACACAAACGATAAAAACTACATCCAAATTATTCCTTAACATTGAAATTTTAAAACACAAAAACAAACAACAAACATTTTGCCAGAACATGACCCACACAAATCTGCTTAATACCCTCCTATATGTTACAACACTTTCTACTGGGTACGTGCAAGACCTATGGAGTAATTAATAATATTTGGGTAGAAAACTAATAATCATAATTCAATCAATTATTTATCACTTCCAATCCAAAATAAACAGGTATAATAACATTACATCGGCCTGTAAAAACTTTCGAATAGCCACTTGTGGTTTGACTGATTTTAATGCAAATATTTCCGTGGGACAGGAGACAAGTGTTTTCTCCAATATTAATAAAATGTTCGTGTGCTACCAACAGACTTTGGCACTGTTTTTTTTCCATGTTCCTCTTGCGGTGTTTACTTTGAAGGCAATAGTTAAACCTCAAAATGGACTGTCACTGACGTAAATTGCAAGAACAAAGTTACTAGTTACGTAAAGATAGTGTAAAGTTGCTGGGACAATTTCTAACTTTAATTTATCATTATGTAGACAGAAACTTCACGATTAGCCCTTTCATCCCTTCGGGCAGGTGACGAAGTAGTAAATAAACTTACCGAATAAAAGCAGTGTTCCGTAACAGAAACACGAGATGAGAAGCTCTCGTTGAAAGCAGTGATAGTCAGAGTCCTCTCCCGCCTGTCGAGACAGTTCGTTTGATTGAAGTACACATGCTCAACGCCAATAATCTGCAGGAAAATCAAATTTTGTAAAAATTAAAATTTGCGCTTACATTACAAAATTCGCTGAACAACCCTTTCATTCTTCCTCATACCACGAAGGCGTAGATAGAGCTTTATCACGGTTCTAGATAATTCAGTATCAAGTACCATGTTTTGATGTTTGCGACAGTCACGTCATGATAACAACTGATCAACTTTACGACAACTTTCTATGCACGAAAGTTATCAAGCAATTTACGGGTAAAATTTATATTCGTGAGAAAAATGTGCTCACACAATTTGTAGGTATATTTTTCCTTCCGATACAAGGGCTACGATTCGGGCAAAAAGACTCACTTTCTTCAATAGATAGGGAGCATCTACGTCGAGCTTGCATCTCCTTTCGATGTTGTGTATTGCGCCGTCTTCGCTTTTATACTCTGACAAAATATCGCTGCCGAGAAACACTGGAATCATTTTGCAAGTAGGAAAACGCTTTTCGTAAGCCTGAAAACGAAATGAGAGAGAGTTCATAACTTACAACCACGGAAATGATTTTCTAACGGTGAAGCATTATCAGTTGGGCAATTAGAGGCATCGTATTTACAACCTGGCGCCGCCGGTCGTTGACTTACAACGATTACACAATTTACCTAAAGGGAATCGCCGAGTGAACGAGAAATTACTAATTGCAGTAGCTTCCTATCGATCAAAAAGCTATTTAGTACAATCACTGTGACGAGATTTCGTATATAAACAGAGAGAATGATTCATCGAAAACTTCACCAAATGAGTGAAACCGATAAGCTACTCACCGCCATAACTATCTCGAAAGGATACTTATATACCCTTACGGGGGACTGGTATTCTTGCACCATTTCAACTGCTACTGAGTAAAGCTAACACAAAATAACGAGCTTTCAAACTAAAACTGATTGTGCAAGACACGCCGGTGTCCACGCACCACCGACATGTTTGCTTGTGTCTACACAGGAAGATAAAACGATGGGGGAAATACTACTGTGGGGTGGTGGGAGTAACAAGTGACGTCACTGCTTTGTTACCACTCATCTCAGTAATGGCGGCGACTTCTGTTGTCAACCCGTGAGTGATCTGACATCATCTTTCGTCGATCATTGGTTATTTCTACCTCTCTCAAGGTATTCGACATCTGCATCCATTGGCAAGGAAATAGTTTCATGCAGCTTATTCCCCCCGGAAAGTTCCTGATTTCAATAAGGTGATCACAGCACGTGAATGACAGCTTTCGTGAGTATCACGATTTTTTCCAAGGGAGCAGAGGTAAAGAAAAGTGTCATAAGATCTCTGTCACAGAAGATTGAATAACTATCACAACTTATTGCATAAATAAGTTTGTATCACAACTTGCTGGAGCTCCTCCGGTTTCGAAGCTCGATTAAAAAATGAAGGACCTCGTGGGGGAAGAAAGGACCTCCGCAACAACAGAAAGCTCGCCTTTGCTTCAAAGCGCGGCTACTAGAGCGACATCCTTGACAAACTCAAGAGGGAGCCACAAACTACTCGACGCAGATAAACTCGCCAGAACCAAGGAGAAAACCAAGAAGGGTCTTCAAAAATACATTCCAATAATTTCTTGGCTTCCTAAGTACACGCGAGAAAGCCTCCTGAGGGACATCATTGCTGGATTGACCGTGGGGTTGATGGTGGTTCCTCAAGGGTTAGCTTATGCTACCATAGCTGGGCTTCCCATTCAATACGGTCTTTACACTTCATATATGGGATGTTTTGTGTATTGTGTGTTTGGTAGCAGTAAAGATATCACTCTCGGCCCCACAGCTATTATGTCCCTAATGGTTGATCGCTTTGCCCAAGGTCAGCCTCTCTATGCCATCGCTCTGACTCTCCTTTGCGGCATTTTCCAGCTTTTGATGGGTGTTCTGCGACTGGGTTTCTTGGTTCGTTTTATCTCCCTGCCAGTGATCAGTGGCTTTGTGTCTGCTGCAGCTATCATAATTGGCTTTGGCCAAGTGAAATCTTTGTTAGGGTTAAAGAAAATACCAAGAGAGTTTGATAAAAACGTGTATGAAACATTTAAGAACATTGGAAAAACAAATTTGTGGGACTTTTTTCTAGGGTCTTGCTGTATTGTGATATTATTGATTTTAAAGAAATTGAGTAGAGTTAAATGGCATGAGGGCGAGGATGTGACCAGATTACAGCGAGCCTGCAGAAACTTCTTGTGGGTGGTTTCCATTGCAAGAAATGCCCTGGTTGTAATTATGGCAGCACTACTTGTGGTAGCAGTATATTCTTCTGGACATGCGGTCCCATTTTCTTTGACAGGTGAAGTTCCCTCTGGAATTCCGGATTTTAAGGTTAGTGACTTAATTTGTGTACATCATTGAAATTGCATTGGCAAGTGAACAGACACTATTTACTACTCTGCGGAAAGTAATTGGTGGGGTGTGAGTTAGGGAAGGGGGTGAAGTAAGGGTTACACAAGGGGAAATCGGATTTAGTTTTCCACCCGTGCAACAACTTTCATCAACTTTGTGGGATAGTCTTTTTATTTCCTTGTAGGTCCTTCTAAAAATCACAATGTCATGAGCACAAAAGATTTGATTTTTAAAAGGTCTAATCAGAGGTATACGTTTTCACAATGGACCTTTCATCAGGTGGAGTCATGAAGACACAATAACATTACTCTGGTTGAAAATAGTGCATAAAACTAAAAACTTGAAACTCTGATGTTTTGGCCAAAACTGTGGCTTTCACTAGGGAGAAGTGGTGAGATTACTTACCAAGTGTGCATTATTCAAGTGTGCACAAAGGTGAAATACACTGGTGGCATATATCAATCTTTGCCGATTCTATAAAGTACTTGTTTGCCAATTCGCACTTGAACATAGGATCTCAAAAGATCTCAAGAAGTGATATGGCCAAAGTGCAAACAACATTCAGCTGCAGCAAACTGTTATGGCTGTTATGCTCTACTGCTTTCCAGTGTTCATCAAACTGAGATGCAAATTTTACCTCTGTCAGTCTCTGTAGTTTGTAATGGGTGAGTGTTCTGCTCTGATGCAGAATGGATACTGACAATGCAGAAGTAACCCATTTTATTTTTTGAATTGGTCATTAGTTAATTGAGAATGTAAAGTTTTTTGGAGTGATCTGTCAAAATTTTAAGCCAAACAAAATCTACCAGAAATCCATCCATATGGAGAGACAACTGTTATTTCCCTCGCACTACCCAGTCATACACATGGAAGCATTTTGATCTACGATCTGATCTAATTCTACTGAATCTTTGTCTGCCTGTCGAAGATAAGATAGATATTTATTGAGATCAGGAGGCACTAGGAAATAAGATTAAAATACAGAGCTGCATGTATTTAAAAATCATTAGCTTGTAGTTGTAAGTGCAATCTTTCAAAATTTGGTGAAATACCTCTTTTAATTGTTCATTTTTTTGCACTGTTTAAATAAGGTATATTATTTTTTAGTATATAAACGTAATTTTTTTCTGACTTTTTTGGTAGCATTTAAACAATTATTCACCTTATTGTTTGCAAAAAAGTGGATAATTACCTTTCCTTTGGCAAATAATCATTAAATACTCAATCATTGCTTACGTACCTTGAGTGCAATGTTTAATATTTGCATGTTTAAAGATATTTTTTGATTAGACATTCTAGTCTTCCTGGATAAGGATGATGAACTGCATCTTCTTTGTAGTGGATAGCAGGCGACATAAAAGAACCCATGTGCTTCTCACAAAGAGTAGGGAACCTAGCTCTTGGTGTTGTAACCTGACCTTGTCATTGTTTATTCAGGCTCCCATTTAACTAGCTTTAAAAACTCTGCTGGGGCAGCCTGTTTAAATATGTTTAAATGAATGAATAAAGTGATGAAGGGAAAATCCCAAAGATTATCAAATAGCCTGAAATGGGCAACAAAAACCCACAAGTTTAGGAGGTTTTTCAGTCTTATCTGCAAACCCTTCCCCTTATGAATGCCCTCTGATACTTACACTGTTTAACTTTCATTCTCTTTCTCGTTAATTTTGGAGACCAACTGACAAGGGGAATTAGAAAAGGTGTTTTACTAAAACTTTGGATAAAATAAATGGTTAATTATTGTAAGCGCACAGGATGTGTGTCACATGAGCCGTGTTAAATGTCCCGGCTATGATGCATCGCCCAGATAAAACTGGTGGAAAGGTATCCAAAACTAGTTGGAAGGGTAAACCTTTTTTTTTTTTGTATTAATGACTTTAATAATCAGATACAATGAATATATGAAGTTCATATATTTTGAACTGCGGTATTAGATACGTATGATGCACGATCCTCGCAGAAGAGAGCGCTATGACTTTAATGATATTAGATAATGATATGACTTTAATAATATTAGAATTTTGGGCTTGAAAATTGTTAGACTTTGCGCTGTCCCACCTTTTCGGCGAAGTTTGTCGCCGAGTCAAGAAAAAAAGTAATCAGTGAAAATAAAATATATGTCAACGCACCGCAGGGAGCTGTTGTGCGACGTCATGCACGTCGCGGCGCGCTAACAAAAAATTTTTTTCAACAGTTTTTTTTTTTTTGCTGGCGCAACGGACTTCGCCGAAAGGTAGGGAAGGCTCGTAGGCTAGAAAAATTTTTTAATAAAGAGTGCTTTCTGCCGCGTAGTCATTCACAGCAACAAAGAAAAACTGTTTCAGCATGTAAAAGATGTCACTTTTCATCATACTATTCAAGGTGACATTAATTTTGATCTATGGATGGAGTTAGGGTTAGCCACATGGCCACACTAATATTGTGAAACTGTGAAGCATGTGTGAAAAAAAAAATCCCGTGCAGATAGCGTGAATCCAGAAAAATGGCCACATGACAAACTACATACTTTGAAACCGCCAAAGTGAAATATTTATCGTGCAAATCTCTCTCCTGCAGAAAGCACGACTCTTTATAAAATGCCGGCGACTTGTAAAGTACATGCTGTGAATCAGCTTTTTTCGGTAGATAGTGTGACTTCATAAAAGAAAGAAAGTGTGTCCACAATGACGTCGTGTTGGAAAACCCCATTTAATTATTCTTCAACGAGGAAATATTGAATTTAGATGAAGGTTATGTAGGCTGCACCCCTCACCTAAAAAGAAAAATATGGTAAAAAAACTAAAGTTCCCAGCGCGGAAATTCGATCCACCTTATTTTTCAGTTTTTGTTGGAGATCGGCATGATTTTACATATTATTGACCACACGAACTTTGAACTCCTCATTAGCTTCTCTAATCCACTGGAAAAAAAATGCGACGCACTGAAGCGGAATATTAGCAAGTACATCGGATTGTAAGCTGTTTTTGTTTTTGTAAGCTCCAACCATAAACGAGTTGTTTTTATATTTAAACCGCGCCTGTACTCGCCCAACAGCGGTCATTTATTCACCTGTTTCCTCACGAAACACCTGGATCACTTCGAAAATTCTCCTTTTATGAACTGGACTGCTAAGTAACGGTAAATTTCCACTAACCCTGTACACCTAACGTCCCACGTGCACATCCCTTGATGGAATTGGAATGGTTGCGATGTTTTTATTCTCACTCGTGCAAATATATTTTGATTTTTTTAACGTTCTCATGTGAAAACGCCGTGTTCAAAGTTGTATCGCTTCTTTAAATCAACACATTTGCTACACCTTTCAGTTTCCATCACATTGACTTTTTTTTATGGATTGACGTTATAATTCAAATAGCAGACCTTAAAAAGTGTACTGACCAATCTCAGAAAAGGCGTTCGGGTCGAGAAAAAAGTTCGAATTTTGGAGAAAAGCGGTTAGTTACACATTCCTGTTACGTAACTTTTCGCTCTTTTAAGACACGGAAGACAGTAACAAACAAAGAAGCATTATTTAGAATAAGTTAACGAATTAATTAACTGATTTAAAAAGGGGGTCACATCGAGAAGACAGTGGTATGATCCAATTACGTAAGGGAGAGGCACGCGCCAAAAAGAGAAATGTAGTTTGATGGGGAAAAAAAAGATCAGCTGATTTCCGCCTGTCTTCACGTGAAAAAGGATGATTTTCAAACTGCCTTTATTATAGTGGACTCTTATCCGTGATTACTGTAAGCAACAATTTCAGTCTGTAACGTTCGTCAGCTTTGGTGCGGTGAAATGGCGTCGGAAGAAACTAGCAAAAAGTTGCAGACTTTCTCGGTGAGTACTAAGGATAAAAACGCCCACGATCTATTCTGAGGGTGACTTCACCTCATCGTAGAATTTAAAAGAATTTAGTAGAATGAAAGTTTTCTTTTCAGGGAGAAAAAGCGTTCTCGTTAAATGCTCGTGTAGAATTATGCGATGCCGCTTTAAATTGATGATGGAAGACGAATATTATCGATTTCCACTCGTTTTTTTCCTTTGCTCGTTGAATTCTGAACAAATTGAACTCATCTCCTATCTAACTCTTGGATTTTAATGTATGCAAACATTGTCTCGCTGATTGTTTAGTTACCGCAGGCAACCATGTGAATACATGAATAGCTCAATTGGCCATGATTGATTGGTGGTTTTTTGAAATGACCTGCTTGCCGTACGCTAAAACAAAATGCAGAAATCAAAACTTATCGAACCTCAGGCGATTGCCGCGTCATTTCACTGTAACCAGTTCAGAATTCTGCCGATGCCGTTCAGCATAACCTCGGTTCGAACGCCCGTCAACGTGTCATTTTAACATGAGTTGCTCTGCTTTACAGGGGAAATACAGGGAATTCTGTTCTCCGGGACCGGTGAAGGTGTTTGTGAAGAAGCGCTTTCCAATCGCGTCTTGGCTGCCAGAATATAATCTCAGGAAGCTACAGTGCGACATGATTGCCGGCTTAACTGTCGGTCTTATGGTTGTTCCTCAAGGTCTAGCCTACGCTCAACTGGCCGGACTGCCACAACAATACGGACTATATTCGGCGTTCATGGGTTGTTTCCTCTACTGTATTCTGGGTACGAGTAAAGATATTACTCTAGGTCCCACTGCGATTATGTCTTTAGTGGTATCTGCGTACGGGAAACCCGAAATACCTCATTATGTTGTCGCATTAACTTTATATACTGGAATAATCTTACTCGCTATGGGCTTTCTTCGGTTGGGATTCGTTGTAAATTTTATTTCTATTCCAATCGTGAGCGGGTTTACCTCCGCAGCGACAATAATCATCGCCTTTAGTCAGCTGAAAGATTTGTTTGGATTACAAAAAATTCCTCGTAAATTCGCCCAGAACGTGTACTTCACCTTCAAGAATATCGGTCAGACAAACAAATGGGACCTAACATTGGGGTTAATATGTATAATAATTCTAATAACCCTGAGGAAGGTTGGACGACTCGAATGGGTGAAGCGCAAGGACTCGAGCGACTCCAGATGGTTGAAGGCAGCAAAGAAGACTGTTTGGCTCATTTCAATCAGTAGAAATGCTCTCATAATTTTGATCGCTGCAGTGGTTTCTTCGTCTCTTTATCAGCATGGCCATAAAGATATTTTTACTTTGCCATCGCGTATTAAACCGGGTCTTCCACTTATGCAGGTAATTAAATGTTTACTTGATATTTTTCATGATCGTTTGAAGCGACACCTCATCATTGTAATTGCTCTACCGGCCAAGCACATAATTCGCTTCAGAAAAAACGTTACAATTTGTGGTTTTCGCAGGGAAAAAGCGAATTTCATTTAACTCTCTATGGATGACTAAGAATCCTCAAATTAGAACGTCATTTCGAATTGTAAGTTTTCCCGTGACTGATTTTTTGAGGGGTTGAAGCACTTACGCCATCGGTCAAATTTTTAAATAGAACGTAAGCAAAGCCTTTTTCGCGGCCTCTGATTGGGCAAGAGCTCAGGAATTCTTTCAAGCGCGCGAAAAATCCCTTGGAAACGTTAGCGATCAACGTGCTTGAGCGTATTTTTTCGCTCAGAAAATGATCATTTCACATGATCTTGATTTGTTTCGGCAAACTAAACATTTAAGCTACTTGTAAAATAGACTTGAAAATATGTTATTTTGGTCCCTAAAGGGTACTTCAAAATTATTTCCCCTAAACTTTGAGTTTGCCTGGCAACTCATTCTAATCTTTGGCACAATTACTTTTCTCAATTAAAAACATAGTGAAGTGCAAGCAAATACCCTTAAAGTAGTTATGTAAAGTAATGAGTTATGCTAATTTTTTTTTTAAACAATTTATTGTTTTCCACCATCAACCACAGATTCTAAAGATTTGAAAATTTTGACCAGGCAAACATCTGTCAATGAATGTTTTGTTTTATTAAAAAGTTACTTATTTTCATGGATTTTGCATTTAGAATAACAGAATACAATAACTGATGGAATAACCTCTTAGAAGTATTTATTCAAAAAGTATTTGAAAACAATTTTTATTTTAAAGAAATCTCTGGCACATAGCCTTTGATTTTACATCTTGAAATTTGTGGATTATGAAGCTTAGTGCATGAAGTTTAGTGTGTATGTGTGCATGTGTTTTAGGTGTTTATTTTTATAGTTTTTGTTTTCTAATATTGCAACACATATGTACCAAATTGTACTTATTGTTAGTCAAAAGCAATGTAACTCTACATCCCCCATGGTTAGATTGTTCTCAGGGGCGACTTGTTCAAAACTTGGTTAAGTTAACCAAGGGTTGGTGCAAAATCTGATTTCAGATGAGAAAGGTTTAAAAGAAAATTCCATTTAACTCTTTTTGTCCATAATTTGATAATTGCACACTCAGAAAACACTCAGCTACAACAAGTTAAAAAAGGATGGAGATAAAAGATCCTTCAGTTGGCAATGTGTAAAGGGCTAACTAACAGCTCATGCAAAAGTGAAAACAGCATTTTACTAATTTTTTTCCACCAGAGTGGGTTAGAGGGTGTGAATGTGGGAGAATCCATAGGGAGGACGGGGGTATAGAAGGGGAAAGGGTCAGGGGGTGTGAATGAGAGGGTGCAAGGGGGTGAGTGTGTTAGTGTTGGAAAATTGATGGGAATGGAAGGAGTATGGGAGAGGAAAAGGTAAAAGTAAAGTGTTTTTACAAGCCTAGTGGCCCATTAGGCTGGTGCTTAACTCCGGTTCCTGTAGCATGAAGCAACTAAGAGTATTTGAGGGTTACCCCCAGCATTAAATTGCAAGTACCCATTTAAACACCTGGGTGAAGAGAGGCACTGTGAGAGTAAAGTGTCTTGCCTAAGAACACAACACAATGTCCCGACTGGGGCTCGAATCCAGACCACTCGATCCGAAGTCGAGCGCACCAACCATGAGGCCACCGCACCTCCAATGGGAGAGGCATAAAAAATGAGACAATTGAGTTAAAGGTGCGAGGGGAATAGAACAGGATTTGGGAACTATCCAAATAATTAAATAGGAGAGGGGGTGGCCAGATGGATGGCAAACAGAATTCAATGGGGCTGTGTTGAGCCCTGGCCATTGCCACTGAACTCTATTCTTGGGCAAGAAACTTTCTGCCTGCAGTGCTGTACCCTGGACTTTTCTTTCTTTACACTTTACAGGTGCCTGCTTTGAGCTTTCAAGTTGGCAATGCTACAAGAAGCACCTTGGAGGTGTTTAAGGATCTTGGACCTGGTCTGGCTGTGGTTCCCCTTATTGGCTTTCTCGAGAGCATTGCAATTGCCAAGGCCTTTGCACGTAAAAATCGCTACACTGTTGATGCCAGCCAGGAATTGATTGCCCTTGGTGTTGCCAATTGTCTCAGCTCATTTGTATCCTCCTATCCAGTGACTGGAAGCTTCTCTAGGACTGCTGTGAATGCACAAAGTGGAGTGGCAACACCTGCAGGAGGTTAGTTTTCCAATGGAACACTTGTACCCATTTTTCTGTGTTTTGTTTTTTTTTGTTTTTTTTTTTGTTAGAGTAAGCTGCAGGTTTCAGTTGGTCCCGCCCCTGCAGTAAATCATTATCCATCTCTTTCATTAAGACTGTAACTTTCAATCAAAGACTTGGCCCAAACAATCAATCAACTTGGCATTACTTGTGGTTCAGTATTTCCAGGACAATCCTGTGCACATTTGTTAAGGATTTTCTTGATATCTTTTCATTTTTAAATGGCATTCCACAGGATTTGGGAACTATCCAAATAATTAAGTAGGAGAAGGGGTGGCCAGGTGGATGGCAAACAGAATTCAATGGGGCTGTGTTAAGCCCTGGCCATTGCCACTGAACTCTATTCTTGGGCAAGAAACTTTCTGCCTGCAGTGCTCTACCCTGGAGTTTAAATAAAAAAAAAAAAAAATGAAAGTCTACACTTCCCCCCCTTCCCCCATCTGGATGGAGTACCCATCCACTGCGGGTTACCCCAACTGCATTTTGTCTTGTTTCCTTTAGTTTGTCAGAACCCACAAATACTCTCAGGTGGTGGAGAGACGCAGTGCCTGGCCAAAGAACACAGGGCAATGACCTAGCCAGTTCTCCAACTCTGATCTCTCACTTCTAGTTCCAGCATGCTAACTGTTAGGCCAAGGGGGAACAAGGTGAAATGCTTAGTGCCCTATTCACCAAGAGTACCAATATTCCCAGTATACTTGTGCCTTAAAAACTGGGATATGCCCTGGCAGCTATATTCTAGTTAGTCTTGTATACAGGCTGAAATTGATGTCTTTAATTTTATACATTTGTTTTTTTTTTTTTTTTAGGAATTTTCACAGGTGCTATTGTTCTCTTAGCCCTTGGACTCCTGACAGACTCCTTTAAGTATATTCCAAAAGCATCTCTTGCAGCACTGATCATGTCCTCTGTGATAACCATGATTGAATATCACATTGTGCCCAACATCTGGAAAGTGCGGCGCATAGACTTGGTGCCTTTGGCTATCACCTTCTTTGGCTGCTTCTATGACATTGAAGTTGGAATTTTGGCAGGTATTGCAGTTGCCTTCTGCATTCTCCTGTATAATGTGGTGTGGCCCCCCATTACAAGAATAGCTAGAGGAGACTATGTGCTTCTAAAAATCAATGGAAATCTCAACTATCCTGGCATTGAACATCTGACCAATGAGATTCAAGAAGTCCCAGCCATGGAACCTTCCCCTCCTGGTATTGTAATCGATTTTTCTCTGGTCACAAGCATTGACTTCACAGTCACTCAAGCACTTCTGACAATCCTGGAAGATATGGAAAACAAGAGAATTCCTATATTCTTCTCTGGTGTTCAGGACATTGTGCGAAATATGATGATGAACTCTGGGATTGATTCAGGCATTATTAATCAAGGCACACAAGCTGTCATAGACTCAATTAATTCTTTGGAAATAGTCGAACAAAATTGAATCAATATTAAAGCATCAACAGTGAATAGGGTAGTAAAGTTTCAGGAAACTATTTTGGTTACAGATTAGGCAAATGAAACAGTAAACTTTGATGATGACAATGACAATGAGAACATTTTATAGGGAAAGCTGTTAGGATTATCCATCCACAAAAAATACCACTAAAATTACCAATACATTTACTGGGTGAAATTTTTCTGTGCTACACACAATTTGAAAGTTTGCAGCATTGTAAGGAGATATTTTCAAACTATAGCATACTTTCTTTTTCTGTTGTTGGACCTCAAATTTTTCCCTACTGCAGGCAAATTACTCAAACGTTAATTCATGTATTAGTCCTTTTTTTTTTTGCCTTTCCAAGAGAATCCAACTACAAGTCTTGTATAGAGCAAACTCCATTGTGTATGTAGGTAACATTGTGTCTGAAAGGACTGCAAGAGTATATGGGATACTGTAGACCTTCACAGGTGTCCTTTGCCCAAACATCTTTCAATGCACTATTTGAAGGATAACCACCCTTACCTACATATCAATGGAAAGGTTATGAAAAGCACTATTTGGCAAAAATTCTTTTGTGCAACCAAAATCAGGAGATGTTTAGGTAATTGAAATTCAAGGACCAGGATATTTTGCCACAAAAAACTCTTGGGGAGTCATTTATATTGACATGTTATAGTTGGCTATTCACACCTTGGTGGGCGAAAGAATTAATTTGGAAAATATTGTGTCTGTTTATAACTTGTGTGTGTTTCAATATTGTACCAAGTTTTTCTTTGAAACTATAATTAAAATAATAAGGCTTAGTTTGACATGAAAAAAAATTGAAAAAATTGAAAAAACTTGGCCTCCTTAGGTCTACTGTATCCTTAAAAAGTTCAATATTTGTATTCATTTTAGAAAAGTAAAGGTTCCATGATCATAGTTAACCATTATGTAGGTCAATCAGAGTGATATACTAAGATTAATGCTAAATTTCATTAGATTAACACAGAAAATCATTCTATATTATTTAAAGACAATTTACATTGTGATTTTGCTATTAATTCCATGCATTAGTTATTTATTCATTGTGCTTAGATTCAGAATTTCTCTTCAAGTGTAAGTTAAAACAAGCACCCCAGACAACGTACTGAAAAATTGTCAATAGCTACAAGAGAGGAAATGTATGATGAAAAAAAAATTATAGCATAACATTTTACATTCATTAGAAGGCAAAGTATGTTAATGAGCTGCACACAAAATGTTGATTTGTGAAAAGTTGAATTAAAATGGTGCAATGTACTAGCAATTATGACATCAATATTCCACTTGAAAAGAGAATTTGTCAAGGAAAAACAATTCCATTTCTTAAAAATATGGGGAAGGTGTAGAGTTTCAGTTGTTTTGAGTAATTATTGTGACATTTCTAATATCTCTTCTCCAAGGGTAGATTTGCTGTGAACCTTTTAAAAGATCAGGCAAGGTAACTCAGCAAAAGATGCAAGGCTGAAGGACAAACATGTGGTTAATTTTGTTTTAATAATTGCACCGTATTTGGTTTGGATTAAAATCTATATTTTTTTCAAATTCAAAGCTTACCTACCAAGAAAGTGCAGATTTGTGCCCAGTTGTCACACTTATTGAATCTACTCATTCATTCTTCAAACATACATTATATTATGTGAATCATTACATTTATATTTTTGGCAGGAATAGAGACATGGTCCAAATAGCAAAATTGATTTATGGGTGTATTTTGTGAGAAATGTTTAAGTAAAATTTTTCTACCACAAATTAGATAATACTATATAATGTTGAAATTTATCTGATAGAAGAGTTGCAGGCAGCATAACTTGTGTGGCTTCATAAATACTCAATAAATTTCTCATAGGTTGCAGGAACAGTAGCTAAGAAGTATGGGAAAGAGTTGAAATAAAGTGTGGAAATGACATATATCTTGTATTTGTCTTTTTTCATTTAGTTGAACCTTTCATCCTTCAAGTAACTAGCATCTAAATTCTCCTAACAATGTCACCCCCAAATCAAATATTAAGGATAAAGGAAATAATCATGATCTAAAGAAGTTCTTGATTGTTAAACAATGTCAGGATCTTAGAGGTAACAAATTTTGCTGTAACTCACCAATTTGCCCCATTGCAGGTTCACCTTCAATCACTTTTACGAGTTCATCTTCTAACTTAAGAGTAATTTGCCCCTACCTTTACCAGTTTGCCCCCAAAAAATTGAACTGTTTTTTTAATTCCTTTGAGTGCCATGAAATACTTAACATACTGTTTGGATACTCCAGGGCCTGCCTAGCAAATTTTTAAGTGGGGGGAGGGGGGGGGCTAAAGATGAATGCTTGAGCATTTTAGCCAATTAGGCAGGGTGTGGGGGGCATGCTTAGCTGGACAAGTTTTTTTAAAAAAAGTTATTTCCTGTTAAGTTAAGTGGGGGTGGGGGTGGGGGGCCTCAAATCACACACGACACAACCAAAACAATTTTATCAGTTAAAAATATGAACAAAAATGAAACTTTTAACCAAACTCAAATCGCACAAAACACAACCAAAACAATTTTATCAGTTAAAAATATGAACAAAAATGAAACTTTTAACCAAACTCAGTCAAATGGCTTGCCTTGCGAGCATCTAAGTGGACTGTAATATACAACAGTAAAGTGTCTGCCAAGAGTGTTTTTAAGTCAGTTATGCTGTTGAAGTGTTTGAGTCAGTGCAAAGTTCAAGGGTTAGGCAAGATAACTAGTTCTTAAGAATTGCTGTGAACAAAAACACAAAATTGTGTCAAACCCATTAGATTAAGGCTGGAGTAAATTAGCACCATTTCATTACTCATGTGCTTTTAACACAGCTAGGAATTTACATGTTGATCAAACATGGTTATGGTTTTGTTGTGAAAATTACATGGTGGTCACAAATATATCATTATTTTCAAAGGGAAATGAAAATGTTCTGTGGTAGGGAAACAAGCCAAAGGATTTTGGGAAAACTGGTACAGGTGGAAATGGACTTATTTTACACAAGCAGGCAAACTTGCAAAGGTGGCAGGGGCAATCTTACAATGGGGCAAATTCACCATAAAACAATTTTGCTATGAACTAAACCATCTTGTAATAATTGTTTGAAAATCAGGAGCTTCTTAAATTTGTGATCATTTCCTTTATTCCCATGACCTTAATATTTAATTCCACCTCCTGGTTAGCTCAATTGGTTAGGATGCCAGACTGTTGTGCAGGAGGTCGAACATTTGAGCCCTGGCCGGACCAAAACTCAAGGTCTTAAAATAACTGAGG